AAAAGTGAGAGGAAAAAAGAAACAAATAGGTAGTAAGACATTTCTTGGCCATTCAAACCTACCTTGAGAAATCCATAGTACTAGAAATCAAAGAGTGGACGCTTACCAAAGGAATGGAGATTCATGTGCTCTCTGGAAGAAACTCTTGAGTGATAAAAAGCGTTCTGTATCTTGACTGGGCTCTGGTGACTTGGGCATATAGGTCTGACAAAACTCCTACAATGGTATACTTAAAATCAGTGCATTTCACTGTAGGTAAAACGTTACCTCAGTAAGGTACTTCAGTAAGAATAAATTACTCTGAGCAACATCTGGAAGCTATGCTGTATGCAACTTCAAGATTTCACACACGACAAGTTAAAAAAGGCCAAAATGCTCCAGCCTAGCGCACAGATGGGTTAGCCCCACTGCAGCCTCGGCTCAAATGCTGCCTTCTCTGTGCGCCTGCCCTTACTCACCAGGTGGACTCGGGCTGCCAATGCCATCACAACGCACCGGATGAACTTCATTATCTGACGGCACTGCTGGGTTTGTCTGTGCATCTGCTTCTCATGGGGGCTGCCTCTCTTTGAAGGTCCAGGTAAGGGCTAAGAATTTGGTGACTGAATCTATAATCCCGGCAAGTGCCTGGCACACAGTAGGCACATAGTAGGTATTTTTGAGATGATAAATGTAAGTCCCCGTGAGGGAAATCATCAAGTGGAGGGCAGTAGAGTAAGGTGACTCAGGAAGAGGGTTGAGGTAGAAGAGGAAATGCTGAGTAAATAGACAAGTACACACTGGCATGCAGATGAAGACACATCCTGTAGCACGTCCCAACCAAACAACTACAATCAATAAAGCTTAAGACACTGAGGCAAGTTTCCACTGGAAGAAGAAATGAGTTCTGGTCCTTAAAATCCTATTTTGTAATGTTGTTAAGGTTACAACTTTATTCATACTTTTATTCAACAAGCATTTAGCAGGCACTGTGCCAAACACTCAAGCAATAAATAAGATACGATTCCTGCCCTCAGTTAGCTCATAGACTAATATAGAAAAACGAATAGAACCACAAAATGCAAAAAGAGAGATTTATGTAAGACAGGAGAGAAAGGAATGTGTGCAGCTGGAGGTTTGGCGATTTCAGGAAGGCTTCACATAAAGGTTGATTTTAGCCCAAGTATGGAAGAATGAAGAGGTGTTCACTAGGTTACAAGGAATAACAAGTATTCCATCCATACAAAAACATGGAGGTGACAAAACTGCATTCTGTGCAAGGAGAAACACAAGCAATGGATTAGGGAGCATCTGTTGCTCTACCATCAGCATCCATTGAACTGGCACAACCACCAGCGGAGATTAAGAGGAAAAACCTGAGACCTACAAGATTTAAATATCAGAGCCCGGGCCAGGCGCAGTGGCTCACGCTTGTAATCACTATGGTAAATACTTGTTAAAAATTGTAGTGTTACAAAGCAATTCTTACGCTAGCTGCTGCAGCTAAAATCACTGGAAGACTCACAGTACAAGTCCTTCACATGCAACCCTTTAAAATGATTTTAGCTGCAGCAGCTAGCGTAAGAATTGCTTTGAAACGCTACAATTTTTAACAAATATTTACCATAGTGTCTTAATATCTGTTGATTGAAATTATATATAATTACTAAAATTACTTCCATTAGCAACAAAGTCAAAAAAAGTTAAAAGGTGGTGAACAGCACATTCCCAAAAGATAAAACTTGGGGCAGGTGGAGAAACAGACCAATTAGAAGTGAGGAAGGACTCATATTCTAGTGCCAGACTTGGCAATGAGCTCAGGTTGACATCCCCTACAGGGTGACAACAATACTGAAAAAATCCAATCCAGAGATAACAGGAAGGGCAGGTGACCAGAAAGGTAGTGAATTAAGTTAGCCTGTTCTGCTCCAGCCATAAAAATTACTATTGTATTTGAACCTCAACCTAGATAGCAACATTAACTTACAGACTAGAAAACCGTGACCAGCCAATGCAAAGTGCTACATACCCCAGTTTCAATCTCATTAGTATTTCGTCTGTTTACCATATGGCTTTCAGATGACCCAAAACAGAGAGACAATGGCAACTATTAGGCATAGAAAATTAAAAGGTACTGCAGAAGAGGCCTAAAATTAGAGTCCAGGCTGTATTTTCTACCACTTCATCAGCCACTGCGTAGCCTTGTTAGAATCAAGCTTCCCCTCTGCCTTTGCCTTCAAACCATTACTTGGTTTTAAACTAGTGTTTAATCATAAACCAGCCCTGCTACATTATTAATGTTTCAAACAGCCTTTCCAACCACATAATAATCCAATATAATTATGTTGAGCTATCTTAAAGGGTAGCTTTCCTACCTTTGTTTTGAATTGTAAAATTAGCATGAGTAGACAAACCAGTTTTTATGTATACTCAAGTATTAGAAGTACAATTTGAAATAAATAAAAACAAGATTCATAAAGTGATAATAATTGGCAGAATAACCACCAGCTCTTACCTCACTCTTTCTCCTCCACTCTAAAAAATAAACTTTGGTTATGAGAATAAGACATTAGCTACTAAAAATCACAGATAGAAAACAGAAATGGCAAGGAGATGCTGACATGGAGTCCAGTCACCATTCAAAACTTTACAAGGTTATTGGAGTTGACTTTGGGGTATTCAAAGCTGCAGTTGCGAATAAAAGTAGCAGATTATATGTAATACATATAGAATATATAATACATATGTATATATGTACATACATATACAATATAAACATTTAAAAACCCTCCTATATTTCAGTAATGTGTAAAGGAATAGGGCAAAATGTAGCATGAATATCAGCAAGCCAGAGAAATAATACTTTACAAATACACATTTGAATCAACCTTTTATCTTCAAATTAGGGGTTCTTAAAGAGGTTGCGGCAATGACAGAGTCATTCATCCTGCTTCTTTTGGCAAGAACAGTATTTTAAAATATGTGCTTTGGTGGCAAAGGCAAAGCTGACAAGAGAGATAAACGTGGACACTGAAGAAACAAAATAGCCCTAACAGTGAGCACACTGTGGTCATTTCAAATATCCAGGGTATACTAAAAGTATCTGAACATGTAAATTACTCATATACACACAATGAAGACAAACATACTGCCTTGCTCCAAGTGGGATGAAAAAAATAATAATTTTAATTTCATTAACTATATTAAAAGGATATGACAGTACCTTTAGGAAGATCCAGCTCTAACGATGAACAAAATACATTATAGAGGTGCCAAATCATTGCTGATAAACACCTTTACATAGACTGCGATGAGAGTGAATACAGACCACATGTACTATGCGCAATGATATCTTTTATCACAATACATTTTTTCCCTGTTCATTATATACAAATTTCTTGGAGAAAACCTACATAATTATGAGCAAGCAGGGACAAAAAAGGAATTCATCGTTTTCCAAAATGTGCATACTAAAAAAAGGGAAGCGTGTGAAATCATTCGTATTCACGTTTCCTGAAGCAAATACAAAGCACGCAGATGCAAACTCCACACAGAAGCCATGTATGGCCAAAACATGTCCCCATGTCTCCCCTTCTCCCTCCCTCAATCCCCAACACTCAAACACAAAATGGCAAGTTTGTTTTCCAAAATTATGCAGAACACCCACTGCTAATGGAAAATTACAGTTGGAAGTCTTGGCTTTTCAAAGTTTATGAATGAGGGAAGTTATTTCTCTTAACTATATTGCTGGAATTTTTCCACTCTCATTTCAATTCAAAATACAGTGTTTATTCTTCTCTCAACTTCCCATGCCCTTCCCTTCACATCTTTCTAAGTCACCTTCAGACCAAAGTTTCAATCTAAAAAGACACTAAAAGCTCATTCCTTAGACCTCCCTACTGTCCCGTGGGTAATGCTACTCACATTTCACATTCCTTCATTTAGCGTAAGAAATGTAACGTTTAAAGTTTATTCTTTCTTTCCACACACATACGTGTATTTCTTTAAGGAAAAATAAATTATTTTCAATTACTGTTCGCTTTAGAATTCTTAAACATGTTGTTTTTTCCGTGGAATAATCTTTAAGCCTAATTCAAAGTTTTAAATACGTTAACTAAACCAGCACGTGGCATCAATAACTCCTAAATGACTGCAGGGCTGGTGCACGCCACAGTTTTCAGCAGTTGTTCCTGATTCACATCTGCTTAGAAGACTTTTGCCTCGTTTTAAAAGCGTCCAGTAGAATAACGGCTAGAAGTCCTGATGTTAACCTTCTACAGATAAATGTAGCCCCAAGGCGTTAATGAAGAGACCCGCTCTTTTTCAGGGGGAAAGAAGGGAATGGAAGATCTTGCCTGTGAGACACAGCTGGGAGGGTAACAACTCTTGAGTGAGTGACGGTAGAATCTCAGTCTCATCAAAGCTGAAAATGAAAAAGCATATGTCCCGGCCCCTACCCCCTGGCTTGGATGCGGCCCCAGAGAAATCACCCTTCCAGGTGGGCCTTCGTGTATTACCTCCTACACCTGCCCTCCCACCCACCCTTCCTTTCCACTCCCCCCTCCATAATGAATACACTGACTTCTCAGGTATAAGGTTAGCATCCCTACTTCTAGGCACCCCGAGGGAATACACCCGAGAGCCCTGGCCCAGCTCTGCACCGCGCGCTCTGGGCTGTGCCCCGCAGAGACGCCCCGGGCGAGCCAGGGCCGACCGCGCTGCTCCTCCCGGACGCGCGGTGCCGACACCCGGCGGGCGAGCGCCCACCTCTGCCCTAGGAAGCCAGTGACACCGTCGGGGGCCAGGGGTTAGGGCAGCGCTAATTAAAGCTGGACATTAAGATGCAGGAGCGGCAGAACCCGCAAAGTCCCCAAAAGTGGACAAGCAAACCAGCTTCTTCGCGCCGGCTGGATCGCCGAAGGAAGCTAAAGTGCAGAGTGACCGGGGCTGCAGTCACCTCGCGACGACCGCCTCGAGTCAGACAACAACCTGCGGAAGGGAGAGCAGTGAAAGGCACTCACCTCCACCCATCTCTGAGCCTCGGCGAATGCCACGCAGCAGTTGGCCTCTGCCTCCTCCAGCCCTTCCATGGCTAGGACAAGGGAGGGAGAGAGAGACTCAGTGGATGCGTGGAGGGGCAGGGGTGTCCCCGCGCGTCTGGGCCCCACGGACAGGGAGGGCACGCGGGCCGCAGCCAACTCCGGCTTCCGCTCCGGCTGCGAAGGCGCCCGGGTTCTCGTTCCCTTTGTTGCGCTCTGCAATTCGTTAAGGTTTCCAACCAACAAGAACGTGAAGACCTGGCTTTCTCTAAACTCCTGAAAGCGACCCAAGGTCCGCGGGGACCCGGGCAGCCAGGCAGGACGCGGGAGGCGAAGCGGGCGCCCGGAGGCAGCGCGCGGCACCAGCCCCGACGACAGTTTGGACTTCAAAAGTCGCAGCGCCGCCGCCGTCCTCCCCGCAGTGGCCCCGCCCCGGCCCACCCCACCGCCCGCCCGGGGCCGGCCAAGTCGCCGCTTCCGTCCGCCCCTCCCGTGGCTCCCCGGGGCTCCCGGCCGCGGCCGCCTCTGCGGTCAGACTGTCTGGTCCGGGAGATGCCACCGTTCGCCAGGGGCCGCGGCCCGCGCCCCGAAGGGATGCGCCGCAGTGCACGCATCCTTCCAGCACCCTCCCGCCTGGCCGCTGCCCTCTCCCGGGCCACTGAGAGCGGCGCCCTCCCTGCTCGCGGCCGCCCGGCCCGCTTGACATACCAAGAATAGCTGCACACAATTGTACCTTTCCCGGCCAAGAAACTTCCCCCGCTGGAGAGCGCGGCCCGCCTCCCTCACCTGAGCCCGAGCCAGCAGAGCCCGCTACCCGCTCTCCCGCAGCGATCCGGCCCCGGCGCCAGGTGCTCACCCTCCCCTCCCACGCTCCCGCCCCCTGCGGCGGCCCGGCCCTCCCGGCTGCAGAGCAGGGTCGTGGACTTGGCATGTGCGACCGCTTCCCCACGGCGGAGTCCGGCCCCCGCTCCGCCCGATTTCCAGGTGGGTGCGGTGGAAGGAGGGTCCCTGCCCCTCCACCACGACTCGCCGCTGAGGGTTCGAGCGAGCGGGAGAGTTCCTTGCATTCCCCACTTCCCGCCCGCTCAGCCCAGTTTAGGCGGTTTGATGATCGCCCTTGCGCTGAGCGTCAAAACTCCCACCCTTCGTGGTTTAAGGACACTCAGGGGACAGCGAAGTGGCAGTTTATGCGGTATCCGTAGCGGCCCTGGGTAGGTGTGCAGGGCCACGGGGCGGGAGGCACACGGGTCGGTTTCCGTGGGTCCTTTTCACACCAGTGCTCAAATCAGGTCTCCACAAAGGAGTCTACTCACCTGTCTGAGCAACTTGGGCCTCACTCCGCGCTCCTGAGGCACTATCCAGGCCACAGGTTGATGGCTTCATCTTTGGAGGAAGATAAAGACCAGTCTGTACTCTGCTGAAACGAAAGCAAACCCTTGTTCTTATTTTTCTGGTTGTTTACTTTTTATGAAGAAAAACATTAGATACAGAGCAAAGACTAATAGAATACTACCTAAGACCTAGCGTCTGTATTTAACAACTATTTGCCTTTTGCCTTATTTGTCACCTTTTCTGCTGGAGGGTTTTATTTTTTAATTTTTAAAATTGTATTTACTTGTTTGTTTTTGTTTGTTTTTTGAGACGGAGTCTCACTCTGTCGCTCAGGCTGGAGTGCAGTGGCACCGTGTCGGCCCACTGCAGCCTCCGTCTCCTGGGTTCAAGCAATTCTCCTGCCTTAGCCTCCGGAGTATCTGGGATTACAGGTGCCCACCACCATGCCCGGCTAGTTTTTTTTAATTTTTAGTAGAGACGGCGTTTCACCATGTTGGCCAGGCTGGTCTCGAACTCCTGACCTCAGGTGATCCACCCACCTCGGCCTCCCAAAGTGTGTGTGTGTTTGTTTGGGGAACGAGTCTCGCTCTGTCGCCCAGGCTAGAGTACAGTGGCGCTATATCGGCTTACTGCAAGCTCTGCCTCCATTCTCCTGCCTCACCCTCCCGAGTAGCTGGGGCTGCAGGCGCCTGCCACCGTATTTTTTTAGTAGAGACGGGATTTCACCGTGTTAGCCAGGATACCCTCGATCTCCTGACCTCATGTCCACCTGCCTCGGCCTCCCAAAGTGCTGGGATTACAGGCGTGAGCTACCGCACCCACCCGTTCTTGTTTGCTTTTTAAGTTTTTTAAGAGACAGCTCTGTTGCCTAGGTTGGAGTGCAGTGGCGCCATCATAGCTTGCCGTGACCTTGACCTCGTGGACTCAAACGATCCTCCTGCCTCAGCCTCCCAAGTAACTGCGACTACAGGCAAGTGTCACCACACCCAGCTAATTTCTGTATTTTTTGTAGAGAGAAGGGTGTCACTATATTGTCCAGGATGGTCTCAGACTCTGACCACAAGCAGTCCTCCCACCTTGGCCTCCCAAAGTGCTAAGCCATCACACCTGGTGGAGAGTTTTAAAGTAAAGACAGGAAATTTCACCCCTATATGGTACCATATACATATCATTTTTAAAAGGACACTTTCCCACTTTGGAATCACGAGGTCAGGAGTTCGAGACCATCCTGGCCAACATGGTGAAACCTATCTCTACTAAAAATACAAAAAAAAAAAAAAAAAAAAAAAAGTTAACTGCACGTGGTGGTGGTACTCAGGAGGCTGAGGCAGGAGAATCGCTTGAACCAGGGAGTCAGAGGTTGCAGTAAGCCAAGATCACACCACTGCACTCCAGCCTGGCAGCAGAGCCGTGACTCCGTCTCAAAAAAGAAAAAAAAAGAAAAAAAGACACTTTCCTACATAAATATAATGCTATTTTCACATCTAACTAAAACTAACAATAATTATCAACTCATATCAAATTCTTCCAACTGACCCAGAAATGTCTTTTACAGCTGACTTACTCAGACCAGGATCCAATCCATGACCACCCATTGCATTTGAGTGCATCTTTTTTAACCCAGAAGAGACTCCTCCTCCTCCACACTCCCCCTTTTATGGAATGACAGTGCCTTGTTGAAAAAACCAGACTGTCTTCTGGATTTATCTTAGACTTCTTTGTGGTGTCTTCAACATATTTCTCTTCTCCCTGTACTTCCTGTGCTCTGGAAGTTAGCTCTAAAAGCTAGATTGGAACCTATCTCTTCTGAGTAAACAGTTCACCACCCACATTCTTCCGGATTGGGGTGATGGTTTTTGTTAGGTTCATTTTTGTTCAGCCACTTTTTACTGGCACTATCTCTAGTCTGTGGTCTGTTTTAAAAAGCTGACAAGCAAGCCTCAGGAACACAACTGTTCCTCCTGAAAGGGAGGCCACGGACTGAACCATCTCTTCGCCTCTTGTCTTCTTTCTGATCAGGCCAAACCCCAAAAGAAAATGGAATGATGAAAGAAACTGGGAAGATATTTCTCTCTTGTTGGCTATTCAAAAACTTTTAAGTGCGGCGAGGCACAGTGGCTCACGCTTGTAATCCCAGCATTTTGGGAGGCCGAGGCGGGCAGATCACTAAGTCAGGAGTTCACGACCAGCCTGGCCAACATGGTAAAACCCCGTCTCTACTAAAAATACAAAAAAAATTAGCCGGGCATGGTGGCAGCCACCTGTAATCCCAGCTACTTGGGAGGCTGAGGCAGGAGAATCGCTTGAACCTGGGAGGGCGGAGGTTGCAGTGAGCCGAGACCGTGGCACTGTACTCCATCCAGCCTGGGCAACAGAGCAGACTCCATGTCAAAAAAAAAAAAAAAAAAAAAAAAAAAAAAAAAAACCTTTTAAGTAATTAGTGAATACCTCATATGTGCTAGATGTTATAAGTGATACAACATTTTAAAATTCTAGATGCTGAATCCTATTCACTATTCAGTCCAGTAGGACATTCTGCAAGCTTCACAAGGATTATTATTCTTAGAGTTAATATATACATACATTACACTATTTAAAGCCCCTGCAGTGTAACTAGCTTTAGGGGTGGCAGCCCAGAATGTTAAGAAGTGCACAGCCTTGGGGATCTGAATGCCTTACAATATTAGCAAGCTACCAGAATCACTAAGTTTCCATTTCTTTATCTGAATAATGTGATAATACTTCAAAGGATTGTTGTGAGAATTAAATATGATGGTGGATATAAAAGCCCAAGGCATTGCTTAGAATAGACACTCAATAAATGAAGGTTGAAGGTTATTTCCCTTTGGTCTCTCTTTCTAACAGTATGTCACATTTTTCCTAAAAAAAATGGGAATTTCATGTATTTGTTCAAATAGTTATATGGAAAGGCTGGAGGATTTTGCAAATCCTGTTTCAAGTCGGCTCAGGCACCAGTCACTGCTTGGCCTCTTTAATGTTGAAAGTTTGCAACTCAGAAGACCCAAATATAATTCTTTGCCTCCTGATATCAGTCATTAGAATGTTTTACCCTTCTGGAAAGATTTATACAACTCTATAGAGAAAAGTACAGCACCTGCCTTAGGAGTTTGAAATGAAATTCACAACAACAAAACATCAAAATTTGTATTTATTTTCCAAAGGAATTTGAGATACCTTTCAATATGTAAAAATGTAAGACAGTACAATTGTCATGTATTGATGCATTAGTGATTAACTCTTGATGAGAGAAAGGGGTACAATCTTTCTGGAAGGTCACTTGGCAATAAATATAAAAAGTTTTTCAAATGCCCACACTCTGTCCCAGCAATTCCACTTCTTGGAATTTATACCAAGGACCTGAGCAAACAGAGATGCACAGAATGAAGTAATGGTGGTAGACACAGAGATGCCCCATAGGAGTGTCATAGGAGGACTTGCTTCACAGGAGGACTTGCTGCTCAGCCTTGGAGAATGTGGTCAACAGATACCCCTAGCTATCAGCCCCTTCAGAGTTGACCTCAGCTGCAGAGTGCAGCCTCACCTGAGGTCCTTCCCCTCCCAGGACAGCCCTCATCTGGTCAGTGAATGACAAGATTATAAAAGCCTAGCCATTTCCACCCAATGGGACAACACTCATAGGCCTTTACAGTAGACCCTGGGGTCTGCTGAGGCTGCAGGACTGCACCACAGTTCACCTTCTCCCTCGCCCACACCTGCTCCTTCCCTCTTCCGTTCACAGGGATCTAGCCCTAGTTAATATCTTACACCTCCAATGCCATTTCTGTCAGCTTCTGAGGACTCAACCTGTGATGGCATCAAGCATGACTTGTTAAGAATGAGAATCCCAAAGCTACCAAAACCCCTAACAATAGAGATGGTGGAGTAAATTATGGTTCCTCCATAGAGTGAGATATTGTATAGTCATTAAGAATGTAAAAAGAGGCCAGGTGCGGTGGCTCACACCTATAATCCCAGCACTTTGGGAGGCCAAGGCAGGTGAATTGCTCAAGCTCGGCAGTTCAAGACCAGCCTGGGCAACATGGTGAAACCCCATCTCTACTGAAA